GGTTGTTCAACTTCGCCGCGTCAGGGTAACTTCGATAGACCCTTAAGCCCCCCAGTCCCCGATCCGTTCTCGTCGTGATGGCTCCGTCAACATTGTGTCCTTGAGCATTGCGATCTGTGGTATCATCGTCATCATCATCATCTTCATCATCATCCTGTTGTTATGCTTGCCGTAACCGCAGCCATCGTCGTTTTAATCAGCACCATGGAGGCTTTCGGCACCACAACCACTGTCATCATTAACCTAAACCCCAGTGTCACCACCATGATGTCACCGGAGGCGTCGCCATCATGACATGATGGACCACAAGCAATGTCATCTGCAACCCGTCATTGTACTGCAAGCTCACCTCCATGACACTGGCACTTGGACTAACCAACCTGAAGCATGTCCACCCTAGAGGCAGTAAGCAAGGCACAATCATGATGAATGACAGTGCTGGGTTGCTTCCGAACTGGCACTTCCCCTGAAGTGCCTCCTACTTGTCCAGTATAATGGGGAACTAAAGGTTAAACTTTGGGCTTACAATACCCCTCTACCCCAAACCCTCAACCCTAAACCCTGAACCCTAAAGCCTTAAAGGCTGCCTACTTGATCACTAAGCGACCCATGCAACTGGGCCCAGCCCGAGGTTTCCCTAGGCCGTGCACGCCGGACCGGACGATAGAAATGCAAGTTAGAGGCGTGTTTTTGTAGGGGCCTAGGGTGTAGGCTTTAGGGGTTTAGGGGTGTTTTTGTAGGGGTTTAGGGTGTAGGCTTTAGGGGTTTAGGCGTTTAGGGGATTTTAACTTAGGGTTGGAGGGGGGTTTAGGGTTTAGGGGTTTTTAGCTTAGGGTTGGAGGGAGGTGCTCTACTATACCATAGGTATCATAGGGCACCATAAGGAGAAGTCTGACCACTCACCCAGTATTGCGATACCCCAAGTCAGACTTAGATGAAACGGGCTGAAGAGCCAGCGATAGTACTGCGCTTCTGCCGAATCCGGATCTGCCTCGACTGCAAAGAAGCTTTTTTCCCAGGACCATTACTTGGAGGGTAGTTATAAGTGGGGCTATAAGTTCCATTGAGTAGGGATATAAGTATAGTTACCCTACTTATAACCCTACTTGCAACTATCCATGAAACTCCAAGTGCAGCAATCCTTTTTAAGGGTTCCAGGACTCGCCTTGGAGGCTTTCGCGTTTTAGGCGGTTGAAAGTTAAACCCTGAACGCCTACAGTGCCCTACAGCACACCGCCAAACCCGAAACCCAGACTTGACCTGGACCCCGTAATGTAAACCTCTTAAGGGTTTCAGGACTCTGCTGAGAGGCTTTTCGAAGGGACCCATTCCTGAGCCCTTTACCCTGAACATCCCACTGCTCGGATTCCGAAGGTGACCTGGGCTCTGTGCTCCCGCATGCCTGCCCCCGCTGCCCCCTGCCCCCTGCACCCTGCCCTCTGCCCCCGCACCCTCTCTGCCCCCTACCCCACTTCCCTCCCATTGTAGTACTGTAGGCTTTTCGAAAATGTTTGGTACCAAAAACCTTTGGGTCATACGTGAGACCTTTTGGGGGCCCTAATTTAAAGAACTACCCATACAAAACCCATTACCACCAATATTCCCCCTTACCCAGAGGCTCCGAAACACACTCCAGAGCTCAGTTGGGCCAGAGGTCACCATCACACTTTAAACCCTGGAGACCTTTGACCTGCCCAAGACTACTAAACGAACTTTGTGCCGAGACCGTCCTCACTAAGTCTCACACCACCAGGGGTCGAAACCCTACACCCTGAACATTCAAGCCCAAATTACCATGCACCATTCCGACTCCTGTTTAGTTCATGGCCAATGGCCCAGCGTGCAAGTCCTCGCGCAACGCAGAGGCCGGTTTGTCGGCATAAAAAGGGGGGCCGCTTACGCCACATCCGCCTGCAGGTACACCGCCGGAGCGAAGCTTTGCGCCGGCTATCGAAGAGCACCTGCACCATGTTCTGCTCGCAGGACACCACGACGCCAAACAAAACCCTAAACCCTAAACCCTAAACCCTAAACCCTCGCGACCACACGAACCAAAGGTCCGAAAAGGTTATCATCGCCAACCTGGTCGTCGCCTGCAGTCCGTGCGCGCCGTGCCACGAAGGAGGAGGCAGGGTTTAGGGTTTAAGGGGGTTTAGGGTTTAGGGTTTAGGGTTTAGGGTTTAAGGGTTTAGGGTGTGGCGGCTGCACCAGACAGGGGTTTTGTTCCTGTGCCGTGACATCCTACAAACCCAGTATACCCAGTACACTAGGCAACACCTGGCTTACCGGCTTTTAGGGTTTAGGGATGTTTAGGGTTTAGGGTTTAGGGATGGCTCTGGGGTGGAAGGGATTTTCCGGCCTAGGATTCAGGGCTGAGCTTAAATTACGGAGTTCAGTCCTCACCGTCCCTGTCGAAACAAAGCCGTGGCCATCTGCAAGTCTCTCATTCCTCTACTCAAAAGCCGACACCATTAAGCCCTAGCCCTAGCTCCTATACCGGTCTTACAAAAACTCTCCTGCATCCCTTCTACCAGCCTATACTCTCCTGTCGACTTGCTTTTTTGGAGTACCTGGTGACCTAGGTGCCGTTGAACTACGGTCCGAACCATAAAGCTGGTTGACCCAAGAAAAGATCTGCATTTGGAAAGCTGGGGATATGGGGGTTTCCGAAATTAGGGGTACCTTATTTTGGGGGGTCCTTATAATAGGGATCCTATTAATTAGGGTGCTATATTAGGGTCCCCTATTTTCGGAAACCCCCATATCTTTTGACCCTCATACCCCAAACCCTAAGCCCTAAACCACAGATGCCATTATGAATCCCTGGTAGAACTAACTAGACCCCAAACCCTAAACCCGAGCCTCACAAGCCCCTCTAGACCCCTTATCAACCACTACAGGTCCCTCATTGAACCCTTTATGGATCCCTTCTAGAAATCCCCTGTTTAGGTTTAGGGTTTAGGGCTCACACCCTAAACCCTAAACCCCAAAGCCCTGGACCCTAAACCACCATAAGCCGCCTTGAGGAAAACGAGCTCGTCCTTTACTTCTCGCCGCTGGTCCCGGAGGCTATGACGGAGCGCCTCTTCGAACCTTTTGGGAGACAGCAAGGTCCGAAAGAATTAAACTTTGGTTTTGAATTATGGGGGAGATTAGGCTAAGTGATTCAAAGGCGTATCTAGGCATCTGGAGCATTTTTAGGGCTCGAAATGTATGGTTGTTGCCGAGGGCTTGGGTTTAGGATGTTGGGGTTTGGGACCTCGTTGTGTGGGTTTGCAGCGGTATGTAAAGCTTTGCGATGTAGCGTTCTCATTTCTGGTGCTACTTGGGTTGTGGTAGAGGTTCAAGCGGTCAGGGTTGGGCGCCTGCCTACACTCTGAGCGTAGCAGTGCTTCAGAGCTTCGCAACACAACTTCGAAGGCTAAGCCACAAGCCCTTTACCCAAAGGTTCCTAGGTACTGTCATGGGGAATATTCTCCCAAGTCATGATAAGAATCCCTAATGTAGAAACCCTACAATATACTCCCTAAACCCTAAACCCTAAACCCTAAACCCTAAACCCTATATAGGTACTTTGGACCCTTTGGGTTAGACTTTCAGATTCAACGATGCGCCCAAGCTTCTCCAGTCAGCTTCAAAAGGCTGCCAGCAGAAGGCCATGTTACTCCCTACACAAGATCTGCGGTCTTCCTTCAAACAGGATGCTAGGTTCCTAAACCCCAAAGCCCTGCACCCTTAACCCCAAGCCCTAAAGCCCTAAACCCTGCACATGGGAGTTTCCGAAAATAGGGGACCCTACTACAGTACCCCAAATAGTAGGATCCTGAAGAGACCCCAAAATAAGGTACCCCGTAAGTTGGGGAAACTCCCACATGGCGTTAGCATCTTGCCGTCACAAAGCTGCTCGCCCATCTGCGCCACATACTTTGCAACCAGATCCTGGGCGCCCGGCTACGACTTCCCCTGCTGCTGCTTAGAAACTAAAACCAGGATCTAGATGGATCTATATAGCGTTTACAACCCTAAGGGTCCATGTACCCAAATAGAGTATACATTGGCTCTAATGTAGTCCCTATATAGGTACTTTAGGGCCAATGTATATACTATCTAGGTACATGGACCCTCTGGGGCTTCGAAACTAAAAAACAGGATCTAGATGGATCTATGTAGCATTTACAATGTAGCACAGGCATGCTATGGTATACTTTTCACTCTGATAAGGAACCACAAGAATGAAAGGGTACAGGTAAGGGTTCTGTTGGGAGCGGCGACGTAGGCAGACAGGCTCTGGCGCCGGAATCTGACCCTCGTTCTGTTCACGAACGCCTGCATTTGCAACGCATGGGGTTACTAGTGTCCCACACATGTATGACATATGTCCATTCATACATAGGTACAGCGATAATATATAGGTACATAAGCACACACACACACATACACAAGTACCTGCATCCATGCATACATACATACATCCATGCATACATATACATACAGGTAAACATCCATCCGCATACATACCGACATGCGGACAAATGTACACACACACATACGCACACACGCACACACGCATGTACACACACACACGCGCGCGCGCGCAGGCCACGCGATGCCATGCCATGCCATGCCATGCCATGCCATGCCATGCCATGCCATGCCATGCCATGCCATGCCATGCCATGCCATGCCATGCCATGCCACGCCATGCCATGCCATGCCATGCCATGCCATGCGATGCCATGCAATGCCATGCCATGCCATGCCATGCCATGCCATGCCATGCCATGCCATGCCATGCCATGCCATGCCATGCCATGCAATGCAATGCAATGCAATGCAATGCAATGCAATGCAATGCAATGCAATGCAATGT